GAGCACAACTAAAGATATTCATGAAAGACGACTTTCAGTACTGCTTCAGAGTGTGGAAAGAAGGCTAGGGCGTGTTCAAAGTAAGGAGGAGTATTTTGAGGATAAATGGCCATGTGTCTTTTACTACACAATTATTTTTAAAAATGAAAGCATTCACCATACTTTTTGTCACACCTTAAATTGACATGATTGGTATGAACTGTTAAGTTTTATTATGGTCATTGCCTGTGGAGTGTGTTGGACTTTATTTTTTTGAGACAGGGTCTTGCTATGTAGCCCAGGCTGGCCTCAAACTCACAGCGATCCTCTTGGGTCAGCCTCCCCATTGCTGGGATTACAGGTGTGCGCCACCACGCCCAACAAGCATTGAACTTTGGGTCAGTGGAATGAGGGACAAGCAGACTATCTCACCAACACGCAATCAAGAAGTTTTTAACTAGGCCAAAGGAGACAAGGTGACCACTGGCTTTCACACAGCTCTTTCCATTTATGCTGGACCCAGAAATGGACACCGAGGCAGCTATCATATTAAATGAAGGTGTGAGGGGCGGGTGAAGTGAAGAGGGCAGCTCTGCCCCTGGGTGTGGCACAGCTTCTCACAGAGCCAGCGCTCACCTGTCCACTGCTGGCACCCTGCGCTCCGGTCCTCTGGCATGCAGCACGTAAGAAATGAAGCAAAGTCACAGCCCTACTCTACAGTGCCGACAGTTCAGGGACTAGTGGAGAATGTGAACGGCCACTAATCCGCTCTCCTCTCCTTCAGGTGGACATTTCCCAGCAGGCCCTGGCGGTCTTCTTTAATGCTGTGCAGTGTCAAAGATATAAATCACATTTTAACTTTCCAGTGTCTGCAGACTGTCATACGAGGTACTCCTTTCATTCACCCAAAAAACTCTTTGAACTGGGCATGATGGCACGTGCCTATACTCCCAGTTCCTCAGAAGGCTGAGACAGGTGGGTCAAAAGTTCAAGGACAGCCTGAGCAACTAAAAACAACAAAAAAAAAAATTTTGAAGAGCTGGGACTGTAGCTCTTTGCTAGAGCACTCGCCTAATATGCACAAGGCCCTGGGTTCCATTCCCAGGACTTTAATCAATGGATCAATCGCATAAATTCTTTGAATTCCGACTGAGGGCCAGGCCCCGCAAGGATGATGCAGTAGGCAGAATGGAGCAGACAGATAAATTTCCACTCCTGGAGCTTACCCAAAACAGAGAGCAAATAAACGTTTATTTTAGTCCTCTGATAGTGTACAGGGAGGATTAGAGGGGGTGCTTGGGGAGGTCTCTCTGAGGAAGTGAAACTCAGAGGGCTTATGGAGGATGAGAAGGAGCTGGCCTGTGAAGGACTGAGATAAGGGGTTCCAGCAGGAGAAAGTCTCAAGGCCAGAAAGGCCCAAATAGAGTAGGAGCTGCCCAACGTCAAGCTGGCTAGTGGGAAAGGAGCCAGGGCACGACTAGCACTGAGATGGGTTAGCAAAGAGGCGGGAGCCAGGTCATGCAGAGCCTTATGGATCGTGAGTTGCAAGGAGGCTGCCAAAGCATATCACACAGAGGACCTGCCTGAGCCAATCCATGTGGGATAAGGAAAACTCTGGCCACAGGAAATAGGATCACAGGATCATTTGGCAAAGGCAGCTATTGGTACCGCGGCATCCCGACTCTTACCTTCCTTCTAAGCCCAGTTATACCATATTTCCCATACTCCTTCAAAGTTAGGTGCAGCCTTTCAACCTGCTGCACTAGTGTAATAAGAGCAGAAATGATCCTGGGACATCAAGTGTACCAAGACCAATTCAGGAGTAAGCATGTAAGTAAAGACACTAGTTAAGCATTTGTATCACTTCAAACTCATTTGGGTATGAGTGACTACGATCTTAAATTGGCTTAAGCAAAAGAGAAGATGCTGGCTCCCTTAAGTGAAAGGTCTAGATGTGGGTCAAACATCAACAAAGCTTGATCCAGGATTCAGATAAAATGATTGAGAAACTATCTCCTTCAGTGAGTGTCAACAGCTCCAGTCTGACAACCTTGCAAAGCTGAGTCCTGGCTTCATGCTGGCTGGTCATGTGGTTCTTCTGAAATAACTATGGTCAGAAGAGTGTATTTCTCTGACTAGCTTAGGCTTATGTCCAAGGTTTCATCCCAGGAATCTTTGACCCACTGGACTGAGAGTGCATTTCTTTCTCACTTAAAACAAGACTCAAGGTAGAAAGTCCAAAGCTGGTAAGGTAGCTTTATAGTTCAGTCATCAGGAAACTAAGGACCCTTTAAATTTCCTGCTCTACCATCCAAATACATGGTCTCCATTCAAAAGAGTTGCTGAAGCTCTAACCATCGTATGTGCATTCTAAGCCAGAGGATAAAAGGCAGAGGGTGAAAAGGCCCTCACCTTTTAGCTGAGTCACCTACTTTAGGTTGCCCTTCTGGGGTGTTGCCTACTACATCTTCTAGCTTACTGACTAAAACTTACTCATGTGGCCTTGCAAGGTAAATTAGAAAATACAGTCTTTATCCACGAAGCAAAATACCAAGAATGTAAATCAGTACTGTGTAACAAAGATGGAATGGGTATTGGATGGTTGCGTGGAGTCTCCAGTGCAGGTGTAGAAGTGGATCCTGCTCCCATCCCTTAGGCTCCTGCTTCCCTGAATATCACTAAGGAATATGGACCAGTTTGGGGCATGCCTGGAGTAGCTTAAGCAAAAGCCAGTGGCATCTGGGCTGTGGCAACCTAAGTGAGCATGACTCTAAACCGCCTGTGCTGGAACTTGCCCTCTCCCTGAAATGCGTTCCAGTGACACCTTCGCCTCACCCAAACTGCTTTCGCCTGTGACCACTCTGAGTTTCACACCTGTACTGGGTAGCTAGGTCGTCTTTGAAATGAGATATTAAACTCTGAAGCTGACAAAGAATCTAAGAAATATTTACATGCCTTTTCTCCTAAGTTGCATGTCTGCAACCTACCCTGCTGGTGCCCAGTGATTTCATTAAGGTATTACTTGTTGCTCAGTCCACAATTCAGAATCCCACATGGTCCACAACAAAAGCTTTCCAGGAAAGATGGATGCGCACACAGGCTGTGTATGGCATACCTGGGATAGTTAACTGATTGTGTCAGCTTGAGTAAGAAACACCCGACTAAGTTAGATCAGCATAGTTCTGGGTGTGGCTGAGGGGATTCACTGAAGACAAGACCCATCCTGGGTGTGAGCAACACCAAACCAATAGGCTTGTTGCCTGAATGGAATTAAAGGGAAACAAAGAAGGAAGGCTCACTTCTGTTTCTTTGGAGGAGCTCCAGTCTTCACCTTCGCTTTGGACATTGTCTCCTGGCCTCCAGCACAGACCCTCCTCATATGGACTCACACAGACACTACAGAGAGCTCCAGACCTTCGATTGGATCCCGTGGGTCTCCAGTGCACAGAAAGCCCTTGTACACATTTCCACACCTGACTCTGCAGGCAGCCACTGTAAGCCTACCTTACAAATCCTTCTATATTTGTATTTGTATATCTTGCATGAAATCTTTCTCTAGTAAGCACTGACGGATACAATAATCTTACCACTAAGGGTAATATTTATGTGCCTTGCAATGTCAAGGAAAATCGATGCTTCACAGCAACCTATCTTAATTAGACAATATTTGACATCGCTAAGAAAAGGATAAGAAGAGCGTTATAAGAGTCCAAAAGAGAGGAAGGTGTCAGGGGCTGGACTGATCCAGGAAGAAGGGCTAAAACCTGAGTTATTGAAGGCGTTAATTCATTTTGAAGGTTCAAGTGCTAAAAGGAGGGGAGGGTGAAGCAGGGGTAAGGTCATATTCTATTCATAGCAGAGGGGTGGAGCAGAGGAATAGCAGGACGGAAACTTGCCACAGTTTCTCCTGGCTGCCCTACAGCTTGTATATGAGTTCATAAAAGTCAGTTTTGCCTGAAGGTTGAAGATAGTCATTACTATTCCTCAAAGAATAATATTTAAAAAGCGAGGCTTTTAACCGGCCATGGTGATGCACACTTGTAATCCCAGCACTCAGGAGCCTGAGGCAGGAGGATCACTGTGAATTCAAGGCCAGCCTGGGCTACAAAGTGAGTTCAAGGCCAGCCTGAACTGCATAGCGAAACCCTGTCTCAAAAAGACAGCCAAAAAAAAGCAAGGCTTTTGGCATCAAATCTGATCTGGGTTTCAGATTCATATGACCTACTAGTTATGTGACCTTGGAAAAATTACCTAGCCTGGGTAACCCCAGTTTCCTCAGACTGAATATAATAAAACCTATGCATAGAACTATGGTTTTGTATCTAACGGTACAGTCCCATGCATAGGAGATATGTGATAGAATGGCTTTTGGGGTGGAGGTATAGGTCAGAGGTAGAACACTTGCCTAGTGTGCATGAGGCCCTGGGCTCAATCCTCAGTGCTGCCAAAAAAAGAAAGAGTGGCTGTGATTATGTGCTTATCCTTAGTGCTGCTCATCGACATTACTGGCTCTCTATCCTCTGAACATACAGTAAGGACTATGATAGGAATGTTTGTTTCTCCCAAAGCCTGTGTGTTGAAATCCTAACCCCACGGTGATGCTATAAGGAAGTGGGTCATGGGGAGGTGATTAGGTTATGAGCAGGTAGCTCCTTAGGAATGAGATTGATTCTGTTAGGAAACAGGCTGCAGAGAAACCCCTTTTCCTTTCCACCACAGGAATACACAGCAAGAGGGTACCATCTCAACCCAGGAAGCAGACCCTCACCAAACATCCAGTCTACTGACACCTCAATTTTAGACTCCTCAGGCTCTAGAACTATGAAAAATAAATCTCTGTTGTTTATAAGCCATCTGGTTTATGACATTTTGTTATAGCAACTCGAACAGACTGAAACAGTAGGGTTACACTCCCTTGTCCGCTGCAATGAGGTGGAAGCATACAACCAGCTCTGGCCAATGAGCTGTAAGCAGTCATTTCAAGTATGCATTTAGCTATCTGTGTGAGACTTACCAGTGCACTCTCTCCCACAGCAACCAGCCAAATTCTGTCAGCCTTGGAAGTCATGTTGAACAAAGCAGCCAGTCCACCAACTACAGGCATGTTAGATTGGGAAGGAAAATACTATGTTGTAAAATACTGATACTTTAAGGTTATTTGTCTGCTCTAGGGCTAATATCAGAGAAAAGGGAGTATGAGAGCAGTTAATAGAAAACCCCAAATCAAAGATCACTTAATACTTTTTCTGATGCCAAAGATTACATTCATTGCTCTGTATACTGATTGCCTACTGTGTGCCAGGAGCTTTACTGGCATTGTCATATGCATAATCTTATCTGTTTTTCCTTCAATATCCTTAAAGGAAGGATTCA